ATAATTTCAAAGAGTATTTTTGCTTTTGTTTCATCGTGTATACATATAATCTAGACAATCTATTGGAGAGGTATTCTCATACTTTAGGTCACAGGTGTAGTATATTGCTATACCCAAAATAATATTTAGCTATTGGTTTTTATGTGAACGCAGAGCGAAATGATTGGGTTTCAGAAAATTACAAAATTAAGCCTACACGATTCATGCTGGATATAAGTTTCCAGAGGAGTATTGCCTCAATGTATGTTTTTTTGGAAGAAATTTTACAAAGAATTTAACATAGTTTTGACTTTATCTGTTATAAATTGCAGGAATGATATGTGTTGTATTGAGGTAATATTTCTCACGATACTTCTCTCTCAAGGGGGTAAAGGTCTTCATCAATAATTAAGGCTGACTCAATTTATAATGTAATGTACTGTTTCACACAAATATTTTCAGCATATATAACCTAATTGATTAATTAATTATGTGAGAAAGTAGATATTATCATGTATAGTATTTTTACTCACTGCATTATTGAATTTAGTATCTGCCAAATTTGGGCTTGGACATGAAGTTAATTGTGAAGACTCAGGTCTGTAATAACTTTCAACAAGTCAAAAATCTGTTTAATTTTGATAGCGTGTATACAAAGATGATTTGCAAGTATATACATGAAGAAAAATATCGCCGTTTGCGATACTAAAGATTGTGCTAAAAACATGAAGCATTTTTTTGTGTGGTTATCCTCTATAAATAATAATCAGTATTCACATCTTATCGGCAAGTTATATACTTTGTATTCGGGATTGAAGGAGTTAATCTAAAAGAATAAACATTTCATATAAGAAAATCTTAAAGTGATTTATTTCAATAAATGTATAATCAGGCGTGGAAGAGAACTATAGTAATTAATGTACAGATTCACAGTTGCGCAAATCGCACACCTATTCGTGAAATACTGAAAAACACTATGGTTTTTGAGTGAGACTTCTCTTTAAAAACATGTTTGAGTTCTCTATAATGCCAGCAATAAATAGAAAAATTTGAAGGATACAAAGTTCTCCGGGGGAAGGAAATTAATATCTAAACGCTTGCATTTTGAAATGACATATTAAATTTAACTTGTGAAATTAAATATGAAGGCTATAGAATGCAGTGGTAAATTAAATGTTATAATGTTAGTTGACAATGAAACGTGCCTGACGAGCTGACATATATATTTAGAGCACTGCGGCCGTACCCTTCAAGAGTATCTGTGTAAATTGCGTTCAGTATCTAGCATAGTTTGTTAGGGAAATTGCATTCGAATTAAAAGATAAATCACAGATTTTTTGTTTCCCTTAACAAAATCAGAATCTAAGGGTTCACTTTGTAACGTTGATTTTAACATAAAGAACTATAAACTAAGGACTAGAAAAGAGTCAAAATTATAATTAAAAAGTCAACCATACAGAAATCCTCTCAAACAACACAACCCGTGGGAGACAAAATGAATCACGGTGCTTGAATCAGTAAAAGGCAGATTCTGTTAAAAGTAGCTATATATGTGAAACTGTACCAAAAATAGGTTATATGATTAAGTAAAAATCTCGAAAAAATTCTGACCTATAGACAATTAATTGACCAAGGTATAGTATGTCTTTAAGACGAACACCACCAACCTTCAACAGTTGAATGGCTTACCAAGATTGCGTTTTAATTTTGGCCATAAATTTAATTAATTGAGTCTGGATGATAGACCTACTTATTATAGTAACAGTACAAGGGTTTCCACATCAAACGAATAATTAGGCTAGGCTAACCCAGGGTCGTCAATTTAAGATGGCTCGGTATTGTAGAAAATGTAATTGAACAGAACCATGTTCAACAACATCAAACCTACTGTGCACGTGAAGAACGTTGAGCTATACAATAATATGTTTAATTGCTAAACTAACTACAGAATGTTTGAAGCAACACGTGAAACAGAAAATCAATTTTGATAATCTTACTGAGTTTTGGATTTAAACTTTACTGCTCTCTCACGCTTTCTTCAACATTTTAGCAACCACTTCACTCTAATAACATTATGTAAAAAAGTCCTTCCCTAATACTTGCAATTTTATTCAATAATGTCCTTATTGCCTAAAACATATATTCCCTTCTTCTGAGACTATTTCAGCTTTCTCTCAAATGGCAACGGAGCAGGCCCAATGGTGATGCTCAATACTCATTCGATTAGTCAGTTCCATAAAATAATATGTCAATAGTTCCACACCTTTATCTAAATAGACTACAATCCAGTGAAGAATTTTCTATCTGATGTTATTGTAAATAGACTACTAATCCTCATAAGTGTCTAACTAAATGTAATTGATATATTTATTATTAATGAAGAATGGAAGTAAACTAGCCTTTCTTGGCGACCCCGCCAAAGGGGTCTTGCAAGGCCACTGGATGAGTTTCATTCTTGATGACCCGAGCAAGGGGGTCTGGGTGCGCGCCGGCCGCGAACAGCCCGAGCCCACATGGAGCCGGCCCGTGGCACGCGCAGTGGAACCGCCGTGCGGGCACGCCCAGCCAGTGGAACCCCGACGCCGCGACACAGCCAGCAGTGGAACCGCGGCCCTCGCGACATGCCCAGCCGTGGACGCCGGCCCGGACACACCGAGCAAGTGACCCGCACGCCACGCCCAACTGGAGCAATTAGCAAAGGAAGCGACTACGCCATCCCTAACACTACAAAACCCCTCACAAAACAACACCCGACCACACACACACGACCAACAGCCACGAGTGCCCCCGAGAGGCGTGTGGCTCCCGAAAAAGAAAAGAGGCTCACGCCAAAAAGAGGCTGTGCCTGTTCCCCCGCAGAGGCTGCAAGAACCACGCCCTCTCCCATCACAAAATTCTTCCTCAAAAATAAGTGCAAAAAACACTCGCACTCCTGCAGAATTCAGCGAAAAAATCACTCGCGCTCCTACGCGATTTTTACTCGCACTCCTGTCACAGGCGCTAGAGGGCGGGGAGGAGAGGGGGAAAAAAAGGTCCCCGCCCTCTAGCGCCTGTGACAGTCGTGCGAGTAAAAATCGCGTAGGAGCGCGAGTGATTTTTTCGCTGAATTCTGCAGGAGTGCGAGTGTTTTTTGCACTTATTTTTGAGGAAGAATTTTGTGATGGGAGAGGGCGTGGTTCTTGCAGCCTCTGCGGGGGAGCAGGCACAGCCTCTTTTTGGCGTGAGCCTCTTTTGTGCGGGAGCCACGCCTCTGCGGGGGGCACGTCGTGTGTGTTGGGGTCGTGTGTGTTGGGGTCGTGTGTGTTGGGGTCGTGTGTGTTGGGGTCGTGTGTGTTGGGGTCGTGTGTGAGGGGGTTTTGTGTGTTGGGGATGGCGTTAGTTCGTTCTTTGCTAATTTGCTCCTAGGGTTGGGCGTGGGCTTGCGGGTCACTTGCTCGGTGTGTCGCGGGCCGGCGGTCCACTGGCTGGGCATGTTGGGGGCCGGCGGTCCACTGGCTGGGCGTGCCGCGGGCCGGCGGTCCACTGGCTGGGCGTGCCGCGGGCCGGCGGTCCACTGGCTCGGGCTGTCGCGGGCCGGCGGGCCACCCAGACCCCGCTTTGGCGGGGTCGTCAAGAATGGAAACTCAGGCCAGGTGGGCCTTGCAAGACCCCGCTTTGGCGGGGTCGCCAAGAAAGGCTAGTTTACTTCCATTTCATAATAATAAATATCAATAGCATTAAGTAAACACTTTATGGAGGATTGTAGTCTATTTACAATAACATTCAGTAGAAACTTTTCAGTGGATTGTAGTCTATTTAGATAAAGTGTGGGAACTTATGACATATTTTTTATGGAACATGGACTAAATCGAATGAGTATTGAGCAGTCACCATTGGGGCCTGCTCGTTTGCCATTTTGAGAGAAATTTGAAATGAGTCTCAGAAGACAGGAGAATATATGTTTTGTGAGGCGAAAGGACATTATTGAAAAATTGCAGTATTAGGGAAGGATTTTTTACATAATTTGTTATTAGAGTGAAGGTGGTTGCTAAATTGGTGAAGGAAAAGCGTGAGAGAGCAGTTAAAGTTTAAATCAATAACTCAGTAGATTATCAAAGGTGTGATTTTGCTGTTTCCGTGTGCTTCAAACATTCTGTAGTTTATTTTTAGGCAATTAAACGATATTTATTGGTAGCTTCAACGTTCTTCACGTGCACAGTAGGTTTGATGTTGTGGAAATGGTTCTTTCATATTACAATTTCTGACAATACCCAGGCATCTTAAATTGCGACCCTGGTTAGCCTAGCCTAATTATTGCGTTTGATGTGGGAACCTTGTTAATGTACGTATTATAAGTAGGTCTATCATCCAGGACTCAATTAATTAATTTATTTGCCAAATAAAAGCAATTTGGTAACCATTCAACTGTTGGAGAGGTTGGTGGTGTTCGTTTTAAATGTACTACTATGACCTTGTCAATTAATTGTCTATAGGTCAGATGATTTTTCGAGGTTTTTATAATCATGATAACGCTATTTTTGGTACAGTTCACATATATCTAGCTACTTTTAACAGAATCTTCCTTTCTGATTCAAATCACGTGATTTCATTGTTGCTAGGTGGTGTGTTAATATCAGCTCGGGCGTTTCCGCCTCATTTTGACATTTTAATACCAATGCATGAGGCCTTCAAATTTGGTAAAGCAATAGACTTGTTTTTTGGTTGCCCCGGACCTCCATTTTATATGGAGAAGCTCAAATTTCGATATTTTCACGAAGAGGCATCCAGGAAAGTCATTTATCTATTTCCTCTTCACCCCGACCAAATTTGAAAATAAATTAATCTTTATATGAATTTTACTTAATACCTGTGTCTAAAATATTGCCGAAAGAGAATATATATAGTTCCACAAATGTTTCATTTTTGAGCACTACCACTAATGTTTCATTTTTGAGGACTTTTTATCATGCTATAAAACTTGACTGATTATCAACTATCCTAACTTCTGTCAATGGCAGATTTCTAGCAGAAAAACAAATATCTACTTCATCATCATAATAATTATCAAAATGTTTGCTAATTTTGAAAACAACAACAATTAATAGTTACTATTGGTGAGCCAACCCTAGAGTTGAGAATCCTCAAAACAAAATCCATAACTAAAGCAAAATCTAAAATCTGATGTTTTCAAAATATATGAGGCAAACCCTCAAATATATCACAATGAGGGAGGCGTGTATTTCACCAACATCCTCGTAAAAAACCAAATGCAAGATTGGTAACAATAAATGGCTAGAGTTGAGGATCCTCCAAAGTTAAATAGCACATTTAAAGCAAAATCTAATAGATGTTTATAACGCATAGGGGGCAAACTCTGTAAAAGTACAATGAGGGAACCGTGTGTTTCATAAACATCCTCGTAAAAAAACCAATTGGAAGTAGGGTATGAAAATCTATGAAATAGGGGTCCTATCAATCGCTGAAACTATTTGAGAGCAGGATGCAAAATCTTGAATTATCCTTCAACTTTATAATAAACATACAAAGATCCTCTAAATCAATCAAATTATAACGAAACAAAGGCCAAAGAAGAAATGTCTTTCATTCAAATCGTCGTCTCAAAACGTCTCGCGAATGCCCTGAAAAAAAGAGGAATAATGGTTATTAAATTTCAGCGCTAGTGTACGCGTAGAAACAATTCATTAAAGCATGTTTCCATGTCGAAATGGAAATGGCTGGAAAAATTGCTTAGCAGTTGTAAAATTGGTCTAAAAGTGGTATAAAAACACGTACAAAAAAGGAGCAGAATGATTATTTTGACAAAAAGGGGCAGCTTCCAATCCATGAAAATATCGCAAAAGCAATCAATCAGCTGTGAGGGGTTAGGGGAGGCGTAACTTCACCGGCATTTGCAATAGATGGAAAAATGTATTGAAAAAGTTATTAAATTTCTATACCACGATGAGGGCAACATGAAGTTTACAAAAACTCTACTAAATCTTGTCACTAAGGGTGTAGCATGAATGTTTAAACAAAAAGGGGCAGCAAAAATTCGTAGAAAATATCGCGAAAGCAATCAATCAATCGCGAGGGATAGGAGGAGGCGTAACTTCACCGGCTTTCGCAACACATGAAAAACTTTATTGAAAAATTTAATTTTCTTAAATGAACACTTGGCATTTCGTTTAGAATTCATTCAGCATATTTATCTAAAAAACGGCAAACAAAATTTGAGTATAAACGAAGTAAAACACGAAGAGATCTTTGATATCAAAAATCGCTTACCGTGTGATGAAGCTGGATGAGAATATCTTTTACAATACTTTGGTCAATCTGCCACGGGAATGTCCTGCAAAAAATCCAAGAATAACCGAAATGAAAACTGTGACGCAGCAAGTTTACCAAAATCAAATGTCGACATCGAAGATCAAGGTTCCTAATCGATGCGTCACTAATGATCGTTAACGATCCGCAGTCACAAAAAGTTTCCCCAATAACGACCTTGCAGACAATGGGGTCACATCACAAAGGGGGCGTAGCTTGATCGTCGTTCGCAACTCGTCAGGCAAAACTGTCCTATAAAGTTTGAATTTCCTGAATCTAGGCGTTACAATTCGCTGAGAATTCGTTGCACAAATTGATAAATAATAAAATATAAAATACCTCTATATTGAAACGTAGATAAACGAAAAGGGATGAAAATAACCCCGAAAACAAACGCACTAACCTGATGAATATTCAATTTAGGAAAGGTATTCAAATCGTGTTCTCGACACTGTCCTGCAAAAACAGCAGAAGAACAGACGGTAAATTCAATGTTGTAGCTAATAAAAGAGCAACAGAAACATAGTATTCAATAAAGGGGCGACTATTAAATATTTCGCGGTAGGGGCAGGGCGTTTTGTTAGAAAAATGGCAGGGCAAGGTACAGAAACATGAGCGAAAAGAATAAACAATACTCACAGTGAAAACTGCGTCCAAAATCAAGGGTCCATTGTGAGAAACATGTCGACTTCTTTTTCCAAACCTTTCTTTCCAACCGTGTGCTCTAAAATGCACCTGGCTGGAAAATGATCTTCGCGACAATTCATCATGGTTTTGTCCTGTTGAGACTGTTTTGACACAAATTGCACGGTCATTTATCAATCGATCCCCCATAAAAGGGAGTTTTTCAGTTACCGGGAAAAAAACTGTCCCTGCAACAATGCAAATCGCTAGGTCATCGGAACGTATCGCCAAAAGACCATGATAACCATGTGAGTGCCTAGTTTAAGCAACAATGATGAGATAATCATGACAATCATAACTTTTGCTCGTACGGTCTCGAGCTTTTGGGAGAAAGGTGTCGCAAGCGAGCTGTTTCGATTCCAAAAAAACCTCGAATCAAAACTTCCATCCAGAAGGGAGAACCGAGCTGTGACGCAGCAAGGTTTTCTTGCAATATTTTTAAAGATAAGCTTTCAGTTTGTTTTCGAAATGACTAAAGGCAATTTTTGCTTCATGAAAATGAAGTCTAGTCATTTTTTATGCCTAAAACAACGCCGGGGCAAGCTATGACGCAGCAAGTTTAGCAAATCAGAAAAGTTGTCTTTCCACCGTGGTTCTTTCAAGAAAGAACGGTTAATGGGTACCTAAGTATCGCTAACGACCCGCACTGACAATCAGGTTGACGCTTAATGATCGCGCCTCATTTGTATAGTTTAATCAAGAAGGGAAAGGTCCTGCATCCTTCGCAATCAAACAAAATGAAATTGTAAAGATAAGCTTCCAATTTGTTTCGAAACGACTAAGAAAGTTTTTTCCATCATAAAAATGCTGTCAACCGACTTATACTGCGTAAAACAACGGCGGGGCAAGCTATGACGCAGCAAGTTTAGCAAATCGAAAAAGTTGGTTTTTCACCGCGGAGCTTTGCAGAAGGAAAGGTTAATGATCGCTAACGATCCGCACTGACAATCAGGTTGCCACTTAATGATCTCGCATCAATGCTTTAGTTTGATTAGGAAGGGAAACATCCTGAATCGTCCGCAACCAAAACAAACTTTCTTGTAAAGTTTCATTTTCGAAAATTTCGGCATTTTGACGTCCGTGTTAACTTCAATCGTATGTTTGGAATGCTCAGTGAAGTGCATGTGGATAGGAAATTCTTGTTGATTTTATTGAGCTTTCAATTCTTTGTTACAATGATGGGGGATGGCGGGATGGGGGGGCCCGTACCCCCACTCGGACAGGATTTGGTTAGCTTAATTTTTCTTTTCTGTGTGATTTTCATTTAAATCCAACGCCCCTTATAAAAAATCAGGAAGAAGTTTTTCGAGGGTTTGACATTTATTTTTTCGATTTCACCAAGTAAACAAAGATGGCAAAGAGAACGGACACGTAATGTAGAAAGTAGTGGTACAGCTAAATTCGCTAGAGGGCGGGGAGGAGAGGGGAAAGAAAAGGTCCCCGCCCTCTAGCGCCTGTGACAGGAGTGCGAGTAGAAATCGCGTAGGAGCGCGAGTGATTTTTGCGCTGAATTCTGCAGGAGTGCGAGTGTTTTTTGCACATTTTTTTGAGGAAAAATTTTGTGATGGCAGAGGGCGTGGTTGTCGCAGCCTCTGCGTGGGAGCACGCCACAGCCTCTCTTTGGCGGGAGCCTCTTTTGTGCGAGAGTCACGCCTTTGCGGGGGGCACGCCTCTGCGGGGGGCGAAGCCGTGTGTGTTGGGGTTTTGTGTGAGGGGGGTTTTGTGTGTTGGGCATGGCGTTAGTTCGTTCTTTGCTAATTTGCATCTCGGCTTTGGGGGGTTTTGCGGGTCACTGGGTGGGCGTGCCGCGGCCGGCGGTCCACTGGCTCGGCGTGCCGCGGGCCGGCGGTCCACCCAGAGCCCGCTTTGGCGGGCTCTCCAAGAATGGAAAAAAGTTTCGGGTATAGGGGCTTGCAAGAACCCGCCTTGGCGGGTTCTCCAAGAAAGGCTAGTCTCCCTTCCATAAAAAGGCAAAAAATATCAATGACTAAAAATAAGGACGTAGTTCAAAATTTTAATTTATTGAGATGTATTTGGGCAAGGATCAAATGTTCTACTGTATGTGGTGAAGTGTATCGTATTTGGAAGTGATTATTTTCAAATGTAGGGAGAGTCTCTTGCAATTAAAATAATATTTATAATGAGACGATATTAATAAAAAATTATGATTGACACGTGTCTAGTGAGCAGGGTGGGCAGATATCTAGAGCTAATGTCATTCACTCCAAGGTCTTGAGTGGCACTGCTCTTTCATTTATAATGAGGGATAATAAATATGGTTGCTTTGTATGTTCCTATTGCCAAGATATCTAGAGCAAATGTAATTTTCGCGCGATTTGCTGCGGAGTATTGTTTTGGCGTTTGCAAAGTGCCCATACATTTTGAGGGAGTTTTTAGAGAGGGTGGTTTATTACTGAGATTGCCATCGTTTGTTTTTTTAAATGTGGGGAATATCTGCAATATTTCTTTGTTTTATGCTTCCTTAAGAAGTAACTATTTTTCTTCACGAAGGCATTTTTAATTTTTTAATTTGATGAGTGATCTTTAGGAGGGCTTATTACTGTACGGATTAAAAGTCGGTGAATGATCAAAGCCTCAATCTATAAATGAATTTTGCCAAATAACTGTATTTGAGACGTTGTAAATGAGCAATTGATTGACATGTCTCTAGTGAGCCAAGTGCCCAGATATGTGGACCTAAGGTCATTCACTGCAAGGGACTGAGTAACATTGTTTCCTCATGTAAAATGAGCAATAATAAATGTAAAGGCTTTGTCTGTGCCAAGTGCCCACATATCTGGACCTAATGTCAATCACTGCATGGGCCCGAATAGCATTGTTTCCTTATTCATAATGAGCAATAAGAGATATAATGGCTCTGTCTGTGCCAAGTGCCCAGATATCTAGACCTAAGGTCATTCACTGCAAGGGCTGGGTAGCATTGTTTCCTCGTGTATAATGAGCAATAATAAACGTAACGGCTTTGTCTGTGCTAAGAGCCCAGATATCTGGACCTAATGTCATTCATTGCAAGGGCCTGGGTAGCATTGTTTCCTCATGTATAATGAGCAATAATAAATGTAATGGCTTTGACTGTGCCAAGTGCCCACATATCTGGACCAAATATAATTAAGTGCGATTCGCTGTTGAACATTGCTTCGTTCTTTTCCAAGTGCCTTTGCATTTTGAGAGAGTTTTTAGAGAGGGTGGTTTATTGCTGAAAATGCCTTGATTTTTCTCTTTTTTAAATTTAGGGAATATTGGCAATATTTCTTTGTTTTATGCTCCCTTAGAAAATGATTTTTTTATCAATAAAAATTTTTTTAATTTTGATTAGATGAATGATCTTTAGGAGAGCTTTCTTGTTAATGATTTTGCCAATCTTTTATGGTTTAATCAAACTTTGAAATTTATGCTGTAGGAGCTTCCAATTTCTTAATAGGGGACTGAGAATTTTGGTTACTGGTATCGCCATTATTTTTTTTTCCAAAGGGAGTCTGAAGTTGTTTTGCAAAAAGGTGGTGAGTTTAAAAATCGGCAATTCTCTGTTCGAAAGGACAATATTTTATATTTCCCCTTCATAGGTTTTGACCATGACTAAATTGGATTAATAGTAGTATTTTTTCGTAAGGGCACTAATTTCATGTTTCGGGGACCTCGTTTGGCATCAGGTGAAAAATGTCGGAGGACTTTTTCAAATAAAGCCTGGTTTGAAAACCTCTCTTGATGCAACTTTTGGTATTGATGATGTTATATTTAAAAAAATAAAATTTCTAGAACCTCTTCTTATTTGTTCAAAAGTAAAGAAATTCGAATGAATGGGGGTGTATTTTCGTTAAAAACGTTCAATTGGGATCGAATTGCTGGACCCTAACAAATCTTCTCGATACTGGATGTATAAGATTGATCTAAATTCCTATGCTTCATCGCGTAGCCTAATTATTGGGTTTAATGTGGGAGGCTTATTACTGTACGGATTATAAGTAGGTGAATGCTCAAAGCCTCGGTCTATAAATGAATTTTGCCAAATAACTGTATTTGAGATGTTGTGAATGAGCAATTGATTGACATGTCTCTAATGAGCCAAGTGCCCAGATATGTAGACCTAAGGTCATTCATGTCTCTAATGAGCCAAGTGCCCAGATATGTAGACCTAAGGTCATTCATGTCTCTAATGAGCCAAGTGCCCAGATATCTAGACCTAAGGTCATTCACTGGAAGGGCTGGGTATCATTGTTTCCTCATGTATAATGAGCAATAATAAATGTAACGGCTTTGTCTGTGCCAAGAGCCCAGATATCTGGACCTAAGGTCATTCAATGCAAGGGAGTGAGTAGCATTGTTTCCTCATGTATAATGAGCAATAATAAATGTAACGGCTTTGTCTGTGCCAAGTGCCCAGATATCTGGACCTAAGGTCATTCAATGCAAGGGACTGAGTAGCATTGTTTCCTCATGTATAATGAGCAATAATAAATATAATGGCTCTGTCTGTGCCAAGTGCTCAGATATCTGGACCGAATGCAATGAAGTGCGATTAGCTGTGGAGCATTGCTTTGCCGTTTGGCAAGTGGCCATAGATTTTGAGAGAGTTTTTAGAGAGGGTGGTTTATTACTGAGAGTGCCACTGTTTGTCCTTTTTTAAATGTAGGGAATATGCGCTATATTTCTTTGTTTTATGCTTAATTAAAAAATAATTGTTTATCTTAATAAATGCTTTTTAACTTTTAGCTGGATCAGTGATATAGAGGGGTTCTTTATTGTTAGCGATTTTATTAATCCGTTATCGTTTAATAAAACTTTGAGCAAGATTATGGCCCGTTTGGCTCGAATTAAGGACGTTTGTATGAGTGAATATCGCCCTTCTTAATAAAAGCGACCCTCAATAGAAAAAGAGTCCCTAAGTATGAAAATAAACATAATCATGATGCCATATCATCGAAAAATACTTTTTTAGGGATAAGCTTTCAGTTTGGTTTGGAAAGGACTGAGGGCATTTTTGCATCATGAAAATGCCGTCTATTCATTTTTTTATCCCTAATACAACGGCGGGGTAAGCTGTGACGCAGCAAGTTTTAGCAAATCGAAAAAGTTATCTTTCCACTGTGGAACTTTGTAGAAGGAACAGTTAATGGGTAGCTAAGTATCACTAACGACCCGCACTGACAATCAAGTTGACGCTTAATGATCTCGCCTCAATTCTATAGTTTTATAAGAAGGGAAACTTACTGGACCCTTCGCAATCAAACAAAACGAAATTATAAAGATAAGCTTCAAATTTTTTTTCGATACGACTAAGAAAGTATTTTCCATCATAAAAATGCCGTCAACCGACTTATAATGCCTAAAACAACGGCGGGGTAAGCTATGACGCAGCAGGTTTAGCGAATCAAAAAGTTGGCTTGCCACCTTGGAGCTTTGCAGAAGGAAAGGTTAATGCGTAGCTAAGTATCGTTAACGACCCGCACTGACAATCAAGTTGACGCATAATGATCTCGCATCGATGCTGTAGTTTTATCATGAAGGGAAACATCCTGAATCGTCTGCAACCAAAACA